CAAAGTTATTGCAGGAGTGAGCCACTGAATTTGACTGGAGGTGAAGATGGTCACAGTTGAGGAAGAAAGAGAAAGGCCAGGAGCTGAAGGGGTCATCCATCCGGAGCTGTGCATCCTGACATTTATCTGCCCTCAGAGGGCAGCACCTCTGCTGTTAGCAGGCCCGATGCCTTGAATCCATGGAGGATGCCAACCAGACTGGGCCGATTCACTTCCACTTCCGCCCCTTCTCCCGACTCCCCGAGGTGCAGGTGCTGATTTTCGTGACCTTCCTGATCATGTACGTGGTCAGCGTCAGCGGCAACACCTCCATTTCTCTCATCATCGGGACCAGCCGCTCTCTCCACACCCCCATGTACTTCTTCCTGGCCAGCCTGGCGGCTCTGGAGATCTGTTACTCCTGCACCATCGCCCCTCTGACTCTGGCCAGCGTCCTGTCCCCAGAGAAAACCCTCATCTCCCTGCCTGGCTGTGCTGCCCAGATGTTCTTCTTCATATTCCTGGGCAGCGCCGACTGCATGCTGCTGGCCGCCATGGCCTACGACAGGTTTGTGGCCATCTGCCACCCTCTACGCTATGCCCTCCTGATGAGCTGGAGGCTGTGTGCCCAGCTGGCCCTGGGCTCGCTGGTGCTGGGGTTCATCTTGGCCTTGCAGCTGACCGTACTCATCTTCCGACTCCCCTTCTGCAGCAGCAAAGAAGTCGGCATGTTCTATTGTGACGTCCTTCCTGTTATGAGATTGGCTTGTGCAGATACCCGGGTCCATGAGGCCACTCTCTTTGTGGTGGGTGTCGCTGTCCTCACCATCCCCTTCCTGCTTATCGCTCTCTCCTATGTCTTCATCGTGGCTGCCATCGTGAAGATGCGCTCTGCCGAGGGGAGGCACAAGGCCTTCTCCACCTGCTCCTCCCACCTGACGATGGTTCTGCTCCAGTATGGCGGGGGAAGCCTCATCTACCTGTGCCCCAGCTCCAGCTACTCTCCAGAGAGGGGCCAGGTGGTGTCTGTGGTCTACACATTCATCACCCCGATGCTGAACCCCTTGATCTACAGCATGAGGAACAGAGAGCTTAAGGATGCTGTGAAGAGAGCGATGAGGAGGTTCCTGTCATCCTAAACACAGCAGCCGCCCTGGAGGTCCCTCTGCAGCATTGCTGGGTGGAGACGAGAGGCTGAGCTCTTTGAAAGACGGGGGCTGAGAGGCCGTTGGCTTCACACTGTTACTGCTTCCCGGTCCTGTTATTTTTGAGAAGTCACTTTCCTTTTCTCATCCTCTGATTCCTCATCTCTACAATGGGGATGGACACGCCCACAAGACCTCAATTCCGGGGTGGTTATGAGGACCAAAAGATACATTAAGTGAAAAAAATACTTTGTGACTTTTAAAGAACGATACAGGAGAGGCGGCTTTGAGATGGCAGAATAGAAGGACGCGGAGCTCACCCTCTCGAACAGTACATCCAAAATACAGCTACATGTGGACCAGTTCTCACACAATACCTACTGCTCTCCGGCAGAAGGCCTTGTACGAGTGGGACTACAAGGAAAATCATCACTGGATAAACAACAAGGTCCTACTGTACAGCACAGTGATCTCCATTCAATACCTTGTAATGGCCTATAATGAAAAAGAATATGAAAAGGAGTATGTGTGTATGTATATATAACTGAATCACTGTGCTGTACACCAGAAATTAACACTGTAAACCAACTATACTTCAATTAAAAAAAGGAAAAAGAAAGAAAGGGAAGATGCAGCAGTTAATGTTTATTACCATCCTCACCATCGCAGGCAGAGTCTGTGTCCTGCTTCGGACTTCGCTCCAGGTGTATTTCTCAGGCCCTTAGCAGGCTCGCACGTTGCACATCTGGGCAGGGGGAGACACAAGCGTAAGTTGCCGATCAAACTGGGACCGTTCCAGCTACTCTCTCATGATGCCCGTGGTGTAAATGCCGAGTTTCTGCCGTCTTGAATTATTTATCTTTCATCCTCAATTGTCTTCCTGGGAAAAGTGATGGGGGAAAGCACTGGAGTTTAAAAAGTTTTGGGAGTTTTTCTTTTCTTGCTGTTATACCTGGAGCTACTCTGTCTCCACCTCCGTCTCTGACTCCATAGCAGTCTGCTTCTAAATCAGCCCACCCATGCCTGTTAGGTTTCCTCCCCACTCTCTGTCCCTTTCTTCTCTCGTTCTCTCTCCCTTACACACACACATTCACGTCTCATAGTCTCCCTTTCCATCTATTCCTAGTTGATATGGTCTCAATATTTGTGTCCCCCCCAAAATTCATATTTTGGGATGGTAATGCCCAAGGTGATGGTATAAGGTGGTGGGGCCTTTAGGAGATGCTCAGGTCAGGAGGGTGAAGCCCCTTCTGCCATGTGAGGATGCAATCAGAAATCTGCGACCTGGAAGAGGCCTTTACCCGCCCACAGTGGTACCCTGATTTCCCAGACCTCCATCTTCCACAATAGTGAGAAATACATTTCTGCGGCTGATAAGCCACCAGTCCGTGGCACTGAGTTATAACAGCCAGAACGGTCTAGGACACTAGCGAGGTATGCACAGTACGGACAGATTGCTTAGTTAGTTGAGGCTCTCTGTGTGGAAGAGAGGTAATGTTGGTTCAGATGTGGATTCAGGTGAAGCAAAGCTAATTCTGTGAAGACAAACACTGGACGCAGTGAGGAGGGGAAGGGATTCATTCACGCGGCTCTGAGCAGCCTGAGCAGGGTGCCAGTGACGATCGCTTGTCCCAGGGCAGCGGTGCCACAACACGGATGCTTTACCTTTGTTTTGTATGGCAGAGGAAGCTCATTCATTCCTCTACCCACTGACAATTGCGGGATTTATTTATTCAAACACATTCAAGGTGACAGTAAACGATTATTTATTGAGCTCTGTTGTGTACGCTGCTCCCACCTGTGGTAGGTGGGGCAGGAAATGGAAAGGCATGTGAGAAGCAGCTCCTGCCTGGAAGGACATTGAACATCTGGAGGGATTTAAGAACACAAGCTATGATTACACCAATGGCCAAGTGCTACAATACTATGAGTGCCAAAGATGGGTCAGTGAAGGGAATCCAGGCAAGGCTGATGGGGGAGGTGGCACCAGAGCTGCACTGCAGGTCTCTGGGTCTGGGTTGCACAGAGGAGCAGGAGGGACATTTCTGGAGGAAGTGTCTGCAAGGGCACAGAAACAGTGAATAGTTCTGTGCCTCTGTTTCCCAATCTGGAACAGCATAAAAAGTGAGCTGCAACATTTTTCTCTTCTTGTTTTTTTCTGAAATGTACCACAGTCCTAAAAGGCAGAAACCATGACCAGAATTCATATTACATGAAACTAAAATGTCACCTGCTTCCTTTGAAAAATAAGAGCCCGAAAGCATCTTCTTTGGTTCACTTACAGACGCTTGGATCCCTCCTGTGTTCTACCAAATATTCTACTGGGTCAGTGTTCTCTGTAGGCTACCGATTGAATAATTGGTGTTGGGGGGAAATAAACATTATACGGTCAAACAAATGTGAAGAATAGTGTGCCGATCAAAATAAAACGAGGGATTTATTGCAGGTTTACTCAGTGCCCGTGACGGGCAACTGTGCAGTCATGACTGTCCAAGATGAGGGATGTGTGTTGTGATGTTTTCTAAATTCTGTCACCACCAAACTCCTTTTTCCCCTTGGAATAGCTTAGGAAATATTTTATTCTGTTGATCCTACTTTGGAAAATGCTGCCCCAGCTGATGCTGACTGAGTACCAAGAGGGTGATTTCACTAGTGATTGAAATATTTGATGTACTTTTTAATCCACCATGCCCTTTGAGATAATAGTGTAGTTATGAATTAGCAGGCTTCTTTCCCAGTGATTGAATAAGAGAATTAATGATGGCCATTTATCATCACGATAACCCACGAAATGGGTGTTACTAACTCCCCCCTTACATATAAGGAAACAGAGACACAGAGAGGCTAAGTAACTTGTTTGAAGTCACACAGCCAGTAGACATAAACTGAGATTTGACTTGAGCAGCGTGGTTTCAAAGTCTGGGCAAAAATCACTCTCTCTCCCAGCATGCTATCACTGTTCTACAAGAGCTTGGGAAAATCGCATCATTTTTCTATCCTTAATTCAATTGCATAATAAAACGGGGACAGGAATATCTACTCCGTCTCCCCAGGTTATTGTGAGATCTCCAAGGGAAAAAAAAAAATCCAAACCATAGAAGTACAGGAAAAGATTCAGCATGGTTAGTCAAACAATCCACATAGAGAAATGAACTCGATGACTTTTTTTTTTAATTAGAAAAAGCTTAAAGCATAATTGTTCAATTGCCTTTCACCTAAGGTTTCACTCGGTTTATCCTGTTACTCTTGGCAAGTGTTTCACGGGTGTTGTAAGAGACAGGTGCATGTTGCTTCCGCAGCTCAGGGGTAACAGTGGGCATCTCATGATGAAGCTTCCGCATTGAGTCTTCCCACTTCCTGCACCAGGCTCTTTAGAGGAGAACTTCGTGCTTAAGGGCTCCAGGAGTTGAGGAGTTTGTATAAACATAAAAACAAGTGAATATGGTGTAAATTACTTATATTGTTAAATCATAGGCATAGGTAAGTGGTATATGGGGATTCATGTTAGGAAAACATCTGAACAACACAACATAAAACATCTTCAAAAACAAAACACATTAAAATTTTTTAAAACAACTTCATGTGGTATAATTCCTGTACAGTAAACTACACATATTTCAGATGTACAATTTGATGAATTTTGATACACGTATACACCCATGAAACCACCACCACAATCAAGATATGTAACATTTCCATCATTCCCCAAGAGATGCAGATTTTGAATTCCCAGTTTATCCCTTCCCACCCACTTTACCCCCTGGTAACCATAAGTTTGTTCTCTGTCTATGAGTCTGTTTCTGTTTTGTAAATAAGTTCATTTGTCTTTTTAAAAAAAGATATAAGTGATATCATATGGTATTTTTCTTTCTCTTTCTGGCTTATTTCACTTAGGATGATCTCCAGGTCCATCCATGTTGCTTGCAAATGGCATTTTATTTCATTTTTTATGGCTGAGTAGTATTCCATCATCTCTCTCTCTCTCTCTCTCTCTCTCTCTCTCTCTCTCTCTGTGTCTCTCTCTCTCTCTCTGTCTCTCTCATATATATCCATTATATATATATATGATATATATATCATAACTTCTTTATCCAATCATGTTAATGGGCATTTAGGTTGTTTCCATGTCTTGGCTATTGTAAATAGTGCTGCCATGAACATTGGGGTGCATGTGTCTTTTCGAATTAGAATTCCCTCCAGATATATGCCCAGGAGTGGCATTGCTGGGTCATATAGTAAATCTTTTAGTCTTTTGAGGAATCTCCATACTGTTTTCAGTAACGGCTACACTAAACTTAGTTTTTAATCAAAAGAATATGCAGCAGTGATGTCACGTCTGAGAGTACTGAAAAACACTTCGGCTTCTCTCTCTCTCTTTATCCCTTTCACTTGCTCGGTCTGATAGAATCCAGCTACCAGGTTGTGAGCTGCCCTGCGAAGAAGCCCACGTGGTGGGGAACTGAGGACAGCCTCCAACCCACGACTGTTGAGGAACTGAATCCTGCCAACAACCACGTGAGTGACTTGGGAAGCAGATCCCTCCCCAGTCAAGCCATGAGATGAGACAGTAGCTCCCAGCCAACACTTTAATTGCAGTCTTGAGGCAGAGGCACCCAGCTAAGCTGCATCTGGATTCCTGAGTCACAGAAACTATAGGATAATACATGCATGCTGTTTCAGGCTGCTAGATTTTAGGGCAACTTGTCATGTGGCAATAGAGAACTAACGCAAACTGTAAGGGGGTGAAAACTGCAAGTCAGGGAGTTTATTCTCCATCCTTTCTGCAGTGGGTAAGAATCGCTGTGGGGAACAGAAGGACTCTTCCCCTTGGATTCTCTAGCTCCCTTATCTCTTTCTGCTGAACATACCCTGGAGACCCTACCTCCAGGTACAAGAACCGGAAAGTGGTCTCACCTGTTCCACCACCAGCCCTTACTGGTCAAGATGGGGTAAGGCTCAGTCCTTTTCTCCAGCAGGAAAGAAACAGGCTTAGAGGAAAGAGAGAGAGAAGTGGAGCCCCCCAAATCCCAGGATCTTCTCCTTGGTTTGTTTGTAAAGGTGAAATTAAGTGTTGGCTGATTTATCTACAGCCAAAATGCAAACACTTAAATTAACCTTGTTATATTTGTTTAATGGGGAAACCACTGCCCTAGACATGGTAGGAAACCAAGGACCATGGTGGAGCCAAAAAAGAAAATACACCAGAGAGAAGGGGCTCCTACTAAGTTACTTACGTTACTGTCCGTCTACATGGAGACCGTCTAGTGCACTGGGGCTGAACGCCAGAGTCCTCCTGACCAGCCCATGGACTCCCCTTGTCCAGGTCCCTTGTTCCGCAGTAACTCGACTTTCTTTATTCTCTTGTATACAACTAGCTTTTTTTTTTTAAATGTTTTTTTAAATCGAAGTATAGTCATTACAATGTGTCAGTTTCTGGTGTACAGCATGATGTCCCAGCCACGCATATACATACCTGTACAACTAACTTTTGGAATCCAGATTTCTGCCTGTCATAGAATTGCAACTATTAATATAAAATGAACAAAATAGGCTTCATATCTAAAAGAAGTTTAAAAAAAGACTTAGAGTCTGTGATAACTACCTTTAAGTAGAATATAAGAAAAGAACTCTGGGGCGGGGGGTGGGGGGTAGGCATAGCTCACGCTTAACATGCACGAGGTCCTGGGTTCAATCCCCAGCACCTCTTTAAAAAAAAAGAAATAAAGAAAGAAAGAAAAGAGCTCTGTTGATGTTTCCCTAACTGAATTCCTAGACTTCAACCCAGTTAAAAGGGCTCTTTATGCTGTTTTTAATTTGTAAAAAATTTAAAGGAAATCAAATGGTCATTTTTGTTATGGCCACACAGGCTGACCAAAAGATCATTTTTTTTAAATTCGTGGAAACATCCTCTCATAGAAAACCAAATTTCTTTTTTGTTTCCTAGTTTTATTGAGATACAACTGACACATAACATTGCATTAGTTTAAGACGTACAACATAATGATTTGACATTATGTCTATTTTGCAAAATGGTTACCACAATACGTCCATCACCTCTCATGGTCACAATTTTTTTCTTAGGATGAGAAATTTTAAGATCTATTTTCTTAGCAACTTCAAATATACAATATAGTATTATTCACTACAGTCGCCATGCTGTACATTACACCCCCAGGACCTGTTCATTTGATAACTGG